CTCCAAGGACACATCCACCAAAGACGTTTATCACCCAGAACCTTTGCTCTGGGGCTGGCAGCTGAAAGGTGGTTTACTAGCAGACCAAGTCCCCACCAGCCTCCACAGAGCTGAGTGTTCTCTGCTGGGATGGGGCTGGGAGCTGCTGGAGGGGGGTCCTGTTCTCGATCACATGGGGACTTTCAAGGGGCTGGAGGGGGTTCCTGTACTGGCTCACAGGGGGACTTTCAAGGGAGCAACTGCTGTTCGTTCCCAGGAGTGCATCCCAACGCCAGCCCAGTCACACACCTCCCCTCCTCCCCCCGTGTCCAGATTCACGGCAGACAGAAATGGGAGAAGGGTTTGTTTGGTGCAGAGGAGAAACACTCACTGCAGCATCCTTGCTGCACGAGCCGTGCGCCGGGCAGGCAGGCGTGTGGGGGAGAGCAGCGAGCTCCTTCAGACCCCCTCGGGCCCTGCTGTAGGGCTGTTATCTCTGGAGGCGTTCCAGACTCCCCTTTTTTCACAGAGCATTGACAGGTGGGCTCTTAGTAGAGCATCTCCCCAGCTCTTTGTAGCAGTTGCTCTCTCTCATAAATAGAATCATAGAACTGTTGTGTTTGGAAGAGACCTTTAAGATCATCAAGTCCAACCGTTCCCCAGCACTGCCAGGTCCCCACAGGCCCATGTCAGTGGTGCTGAGGCACCACATCTCCACGGCCTGGAAACCCCTCCAGGGGTGGGGACTCCACCACTGCCCTGGGCAGCCTGGCACAGCCCTGGGCAACCCTCCAGGGCAAGAAATTGTTCCTCAGGGACAACTGAAACCTCCCCTGGGGCAACTTGAGGCCACTTCCTCTGGTTCTATCACTTGCCTCTTGGGAGAAGAGATCGACCCCCCCTGGCTCCAGGCTCCTGTCAGGAGCTGTGCAGAGCCAGAAGGTCTCCTCTGAGCCTCCTTTGCTCCAGGCTCAGCACCCCCAGCTCCCTCAGCTGCTCCTCACAGGACCTGTGCTCTAGAACAACTCTGTCATGCGATACCACACACACCTATTTTACCTGCATCTCTCTATGTTGACATAATTACAAATCAGCAGAGGCTGCCCTCAGCAATGGCAATACAGTTACTTAGCTTTTACGATTAGCATTTAATGCAGCACTTTTTTGTTTTAATATTAATTTGACTTAAGCAGGTCCTTCTGCGAGGTGTCCAAGCTCTCTTGCTATGTGTGTGCTGTACCTCGGGTGCTCTGGGAACAGCTTTGCACATGTGTCTCAGCACCCAAGGGTGCAGATCATGCCCTGCTGGGTTCAGAAGCACCTAACTCCCTGAGGAGGGGGTTCGGGCCCCAGTGGGTGCCCAGGTAGCCACGAGTGTCTCTTTCCTGGGTGGTGAGGACTAGATCCTCCAAGGCACCAAAGCACCAGACTCCACAACATCCTGAGGCGTGTGCAGGAGCTGGTCACCCAGGTGTCCCTGACGGCAAGGGCTGGAGGCAAAACCACCATCCTGGGCACACCTGGGATTGATCTTTCAGTGGATGACAAGGGGGTAATACCCCGGAAAGAGTTTTTGTGTTGATACAGGTGCCTTGAACTGAAAAAAATACTGTTTGATGCCCCCTGCAAGTGAGTGTTTAATGCTAAGTAGCCGTTTCTCTTCAACTGCACACAGGATCATACGGACGAAGGTGCAGCAGCCACCCAATCAGCAGGTCCCAGCCTCCAGTCACAGCATAGGTAAGGAAAACTTTTTATTTTTAAATATAAAAAAAAAAAAGCATAATGGATTACAAATATTCTAAAGAACTTTTAATCATTCTTATGGACAGATAATTCTGCATAAAACACTTCAGCACACGTGCTAATGCGACTTCTTTGTCATTCTCCAAGGGCTGAACATAGTAAATGAATTTTATAAATACTGCTAAAAGGTTTTGAATTTTACTGATTATTATGATAAATAGCTTTCACCATGAGACAGAAAATTGAAATCTAAACCAAAAAAACCCCACTAATGGGGGTCTATAGAATGTCAGATAATTAAAGTAATAAATCAAGAAAGGGATACTTATTCATAACATTTTCTGCATCATTAGTCAGTAAGTAGTTTTGAATGTGTTTTTTTCATCTATCAACCAACCCTTCCATAATTCTTTGTGCACTTCCAGTCTTGAGTGAAGAGGTAGCAAAACTTTCTGAAACTTTCAATTCAGCCACAGAGCAGCGATGCTGTGCCCGAGGCGGGCGGTGCCAGCGGCAGGGGTGGCCTGGCTGCTGCGGCACCGTCGGCCCTTCACGAGGCTGGTGGTGTTTTTCTGGGGGGGCTGGAGGGGCTCGGGCAGGGCTCACTCCTGCTTTTTTTTGTCCTTGTTTTGTGAAAGCTGCTGCGGCACAGGCAAGCCCTTGCTCTGTAGGCAGAAGGGAGGTGGGATAGGGGCCCTGGTTGCTCTCTGCCTTTGTGCGGTCACCTGTGAAATGGGCAAACGCTTGATACCCATGCCTTGGCAAGGGTGGGCTGGCACTGTGAGACACAGATTGTGGGTGCAGAGCTGCAGGAACCCTTCACGCTTGTCAAAGAAGTCATGCTGCAGTCCCGTGTCCTGAGCTGTTACTTCTTGGAAGTGCCCAAACAATCTCAGAGGAGGAAAAGCATCCATTTTGCTATGGTGGTTAAGCGGTGTCTCTCTCTGAGAGGAACAGAGAGGAGAAATCTTGTTTCTTAGGGATAATAGATCAGGGATTGAAAGTAAGTGAGTAGAAGATTGCTAAGTAGAAGTGACCACCTTGCATTAAGCAGCAGGGGTTCCTGACACAGGGTTCCTCCCTGTGGGCTGTGGCTGGGTTTTTCAGCGTGCTGCTGCAGGGCACTCTCTGTGCCTGGGGACACGGCGATGTGCCAGCGCCGGCTCAGCCGGTGAGCTGGTGGAGGTGATGGTGATGCTCCCTCCTCTGCCTGCTTCTGTACAGCCTCAGACTCCTGCAGCATCACACAGACAAGTGTCTGCAGCCCTGGCCCACATCCCCAGGCTTGTGCTGGCTGTGGTGAATAACCCCCATTGGCTGGACAGAGCCAGGACCCTTTCCTGAGAGCTCTGGCAAAGCAAAGTAGATTTAATTCATATTTTGGGGAGCTTCAGGGTCTTTTCTCCATGGTTCCTGGGCAACCCCAGCTCCCTAGGGGGTCTATCACTGCCTGGAGGGTGATAGCTTGGGCAGGCAGCAAACCAATTACAGCAAGTGCTGGTCCACTTCCACGAGATCCCTGTGCCAGGAGGCTGGCTGCCTGCACTGAGACCTCACTGGGTGCCAGTTTCCAGAGGCTCCCCTCTCTGCTTGGCTGTGCTCCCAGCCAGCTCCAACCACCTTGCTGATGGCAGAATCCCAGCATGGTGGGGGTCGGATGTGACCCCCGGAGATCATCTCGTCCAACCCCCCCTGCTAAAGTAGGGTCGCCCACAGCAGGGTGCCCATGGTGGCATGCAGGTGGGTTTGGGATCCCTCCAGAGCAGGAGACTCCACCGCCTCTCTGGGCAGCTGCTCCAGGCTCTGCACCCTC